ATCCCCTCCAGTATTCCCAGCATCCTCTCCTCACTCCAGCACCCCAGGGGATCTCAGATTCTGGTATTTCCCCAGTATCCCCATCATCTTCTCCCTATCCTAGTGGACCCCAGACCCCAGCATCCCTCTTCCCAGAGCATCCCAGTGCGTGTTTCCCTCCCAGTATCCCCCAAGGTGACTCACTGGAGACCAGTTGGCTGACGGTGGGGGTCTCCGAGCAGGTGATGGGGACGGGCGTGGAGGACGCCTTCGCCGCCGGGGCAGGGTTTGCCATCACCACGGCCGGCTGGGAGAGAGCCGGGGCCGGCTGGATGGGCTGCACCTGGGGCAGATGGGAGGGGCCGCACCCCCAAAGTGGCCACAGAGAGAGAGACGCCCCATGGGGCAGCACTGAGGGGCAGGACGGGACGTGTCCTGAAGATGCTCACAGGCTCCAAAGCAACGTGATTGGGTCTCAAAGCAACGTGGTTGGGTCCCAAAGATGCTCTCATGCTTCCAGAGCAATGTGACCAGGTCCCAAAGCAACGTGGCCGGGTCCTAGCGCTGCTCAGGTCCTCCCAAGACAACATGGGCAGGTCCCAAAGCAACGTGACCAGGTCCCAGAGCTGTTCAGGTCCTCCCAAAACAACGTGGACAGTCCCAAAGCACCGTGGTTGGAACCCAAAGCAATGTGGTTGGGACCCAAAGCAATGTGGTTGGGACCCAAAGCAATGTGGTTGGGACCCAAAGCAATGTGGTTGGGACCCAAAGATGCTCTCATGCTTCCAGAGCAATGTGACCAGGTCCCAAAGCTGCTCAGGTCCTCCTGAAGCCACGTGGTTGGGTCCCAAGGCAATGAAGCCACGTCCCAAAGATGCTCTTGTGCTTCCAGAGCAATGTGGCCACATCCCAGAGCAATGTGGCTGGGTCCCAAAGCCGGATGGCCAGGTCCCGAAGATGCTCAACGTGCTCCAAAAGCAACGTGGCTCCATCTCAAAGGTGCTCACATGCTCCCAAACCAACGTGTCAGGTCCCAAAGCCACATGTCTGGGTCCCAAAGGTGCTCACATCCTCCTAAAGTAATGTGGCTGAGTGCCAGATCCACATGGCCAGGTCACAAACACGCTGACGTGCTCCCAAAGCCACATGTCAGGGTCCCAAATCCACATGCCCAGGTCACAAACGTGCTCACAAGCTCCCAAAACAACGTGGCCAGGTCCCAAAGCCACGCAGCCAGGTTGCAAAGGCACTCACATGCTCCAAAAGCAACGTGGCCGCATCCCAAAGGCAGACATTTGCTCCCAAAGTCATGTGGCCGCGTCCCAAAGCAAGTGGCTCGGTCCCAAAGCCACACGGTCAGGTCCTAAAGATGCTCACATCCTCCCAAAGCACCGTGGCCATGCCCAAAGGTGCTCTCATGCTCCCAAAGCCCACGTTTCTGGGCACCAAAGATGCTCATGTCCTCCTAATGCAACGTGGCCAGGTCCCAAAGCCACAGGGTCAGGTCACAAAGACACTCGACGTGCCCCAAAAGCAACGTGACCGGGTCCCAAATGTACTCCCGTGCTCCCAAAGCCACATGGCTCTGCCTCAAAGCAGCGTGGCCAAGTCCCAAAGCCACATGGCCAGGCTGCTCCCAAAGCACCATCACCATGTCCCAAAGGTGCTCTCATGCTCCCAAAGCCAGGTGTCTGGGTCCCAAAGATGCTCACGTCCTCCTAATGCAACGTGGCCGGGTCCCAAAAGTGCTCACGTGCTCCCAAAGCAACGTGGCTGGGTCTCTAAGCAACGTGGCCTGGTCCCAAAGACACATGACCAGGTCGCAAAGACACTCACGTGCCCCAAAAGCAACGTGTCCACATCCCAAAGGTACTCATGTGCCCCTAAAGCGACGTGGCTGGCTCCCAAAGCAACGTGGCTGCATCCCAAAGATGCTCCCATGCTCCCGAAGCCCTGTGGCCACCAGACCCGTGCCCGTGGCTCACCTCAGTCTTGGCGGGGGGCTCGGGGGTGCCGGTTTTCTTGACGGCGGCTGCCTGGATGGCGCTGCCGGCCAGCGTGGCGATGACTTGGCCCTGGGCATTGAGCAGCAGCTGCGGCGTCACCGTCTGCACCTGCAGGTTCTGGGCCGGGGCAGGGTTTGCCGCCGCCACTGCGGGAGGGTTCACCACCCACGG